ATGTCTGTAACCTTCTCTTTTTGCTTTTTACTTTTTATTTATTTATTTATTTTTTGCTTTTGTTTTTCTTAAACCTATCTAAGACTAGGTCTGTGGGTCTAAGAGTCTCACTCTGAAAGAACAAATGTTCTTAACTGTCTCTCAGCCCTAATGGGTTTCATTCATTCATTTATTTATTTTTGAGGCAGGGTTCACTAGGTAGCTCTGGCTGTCCTGGAACACACAGAGCTCTGCCTGCTTCTGCCTCCTGAGTGCTGGGATGACAGACAGGTCCCCACACCTGTCTGTGCACGCCGCACAAGCTCTTAGCTGAATGAACTAGAGATGATCTCCAGTTTCAGGTCTACCTGAGACAGGGTCTTCGTTCTGTAGCCCAGGATGGCCCTGCACTCACAGCATCCTCTTGCCTTAGCCTTCTATGTGATGGAAGTGCGGGCATGACCTCTTCCCGGTCCGTAGGCGGAAGCTGTGTAGGCTTCCGTGCGTGGGCGCGCGTCTTCATGCGTGGGCGAAGGCTCTTTAGCCCATGGAGAAGTACTCACCCATCGTGTGCCAGGCACTCTCATGACCTTGGGAAATACAACTGCAGGGAAATTTTTGCTGCCGAAGGCACCATTACCAATAAAAAAAAAAAAAAATGAAGTGGACAAGAGATGTGTCCTGTTCGATCGTGACCAATTCTATAGTGAAAAATAAAGCAAAGGAGGGTGGTGCCGAGATGTGAGGGGGTTAGTAAGATACCAGACAGACCGGTAGGAAAGCATCACCAAGCAATTTTGAGGCCAGACCTGGAGGGCGTCTGGCAACCGTGGCCAGCCCTGGCCGGGTGTTTGGTAGATTGCATCTGTCCCAAGGCCCTTGTGTCTCTTGCCCAGACTCCTTACACGTCTTGCCCCTTGGTGATAATAGAAAGCTTGTTGCTTACCCCCCTCAGGGCTGACCACTTCCTCCTTCCTGCCCATGCCCCTCTGCCCAGGGAAACAGTATGGTAGACTGTTGAATGGCCTGAAGTGAGAAAGGGCTGGAGGGCTGAGAGTGGAGGGTGGGGAGGGAAGAGGGGCTAGGCTGGAGAAAGAGCAGACCACACAGGGTCTTCCTGCAGGTCATGGAAAGGAAAGGACAGTCGCTGTGAGTCAGGAGAGCCCGGAAGTGGCAGGGTCTGCAGCTGTTGGGAGAATATTCAATAGGGACAAGGGTGGGAACAGGAAATCCAGCTGGGAGGTTATTGCAGAAATCTAGGGTATCAGCTGGGGGGGGGGCAGGCATAAGCCTTTAATCCCAGCACTACGGAGGCAGATGCAGGTGAGTTCGAGGCCAGCCTGGTCTACAAGAGCTAGTTCTAGGACAGACTCCAAAGCTACAAAGAAACCCTGTCTTGAAAAACAAAACAAAATAAAAAAAAAAAAAAAAAGAAAAGAAAAGAAAAGAAAAAGAAATCTGGGCTATCTGTGAAGGTGACTTTGGTCAAGGCAGCATCAGCGGGGAGTAGATAAAGACCCAATCAATTCTGAGAGTTTTTGGAAGACCCTGAAGACAGCCTTTACCCAAAACCCACCAAGAATGAAGCCTAAGGCTTATTAAATTTGCTATGCACAGTTAGCATGAACCACGAGTCTACCTGGCTGTAGTGTGGTGTTCCGAGACCCCTCATCACCATGGGAAGGCCAGCTGGGTGGGTTGTATAAGCTCTGAATACCAGGTCAGAGTTCAAGTCACACCTCCTACAGAAAGCACAGGACTTTCTCAGAGAGGCTGCACAGCTGACCTCTTTACGCAGGCCTGGGACACTCACCAGACCGCTGTATTCTGTTGCAGATGGAAGACCACATAATCGCGATGCACGGGCATGTGTTTGGGGCCTATTTCGGACTGCTTGTGGCCTGGTGCCTCTCCAGGTCCCCGCCCAGGGGAATGGGTGAGAAAGCCCAGACAGAGAAGGCTCAGATGGCCACAAGCTCCAGTCTGTTTGCCATGCTGGGTAAGGATGAGAGGGCTGGGTAGTCTCCTGTCTGAACAGTTGGGAACAAATCCTGCTGACAAATCTTTCTGACCCTGAGTATCCTGGTTCCGTCCATAAAGGCCCTTTGTTTCTAGTAACATTGTTGAGTTTATATAGCTTTATATATAGTTTATAGACTATGGGACTTCTCTTCAATAATATTTGGTGGAGCCGGGCAGTGGTGGCACAGGCCTTTAATCCGAGCACTCATAGGCAGAGGCAGTTGAATCTCCTTGTTTGAGGCCAGTCTGGTCTACAGAGTGAGTTCCAGGACAGCCAGGACTGTTACATAGAGAAATCCTGTCTCAAAAAATCAAAATAATAATAATAATAATAATAATAATTCAGTGGAGACTTGGGTGTGGTGGTGTACCCCTGGACTACAGCACTTGGAAAGCAGAGACAGGAGGATTGAAAGTTCAGAGAGGCTCTTTACTTTAGACTACATTTATTTATTTATCTTATGTGCATTGGTGTTTTACCATGGAACTGGAGTTACAGACTGTTGTGAGCTGCCATGTGGGTGCTGGGAATTGAACTCCGGTCCTCTGGCAGAGCCATCAGTGCTCTAACCACTGAGTCATCTTTCCAGCCTCGGCCTTGCATTTTAAAAGGAAGCGTTTGGCCATCAAAGAGCAGAGTGAGGCCTGGCACTTGTAGAGACCTTAACGCACTGGGCCTTATACTCCTCATCTGGAAAATGTGTCATCTGCTTCCTACCAAACTGAGACTTCAGACAGGAGAGGGGAGAGGTGACTGTTTAGACACCCCTGGAAGGTGACCAGGCTCGCTTGCTAGCTCCAGGCCGTTCCTCTGATGTCCAGGGAGAGAGTGGTTTCAGAAGCAGTGCTCTTCTGGCTAATGGCCTTCTCTGCCCTCCAGGCACCTTCCTCCTGTGGATCTTCTGGCCCAGTTTCAACTCTGCTCTGCTGGAATGGCCAAATGAGAAGAAGACCGCTGTGCTCAACACCTACTATGTCCTTGCTGTCAGTGCAGTGACAGCCACCTCCATGTCAGCCCTGAGCCACCCCCAGGGGAAGATCAACATGGTGAGGAGGAGGCTGCCTCCTGGGCAACATGTGTCTCTCTGTGCCTAACACACGTGTTGATGGCTGTCCCACAGGGCCAGGCTCTGGGTGTCTCTCTGTGCCTAACACACGTGTTGATGGCTGTCCCACAGGGCCAGGCTCTGGGTGTCTCTCTGTACCTAACACACGTGTTGATGGTTCTCCCACAGGGCCAGGCTCTGGGTGGCTGGGGGAGCTCCTGTGATGGGCCCTTCCTTGTCTGCCATGTAGGGAATATCAGGATACCAGAGACTGGACAGGCTTTCTGGGGGCTGGTGTGTTGCGCACATGTGTTTAAATCAATGTTACTATCACCTACCCACAAGCTGCTGCTTTGCAGGTTCACATCCACAACGCAGTACTGGCAGGAGGCGTGGCTGTAGGTGCCCCGTGTTTCCTGATCACTTCTCCCTGGATTGCCATGGTGCTGGGCCTCACAGCGGGGTTGATCTCCATTGGGGGAGCCAAGTGCCTGCCGGTAAGGAAGTGTGACCTTATCACTGTGAAGAGACACCATGACTGTGGCGCCTCTTATAAAGGAAGCATTTAATTAGGGTGGCTCGCTCACAGTTTTCAGATGTTCAGTCCGTTCTAACTATGGAGGGGAGCAGGCTGGCATGCTGGCAGACATGGTGCTGTAGGAGCAGCCGAGAGTCCTGTATCTTGCAGGCAACAAGAAGTTGACTGAGACACTGGGCAGTATCCTGAGCATAGGAAACCTCAAAGCCCACCCCCAGAGTGACACACTTCCTCCAACAAAGCCACACCTCCCAATAGTGCCACTCCCTTTGGGGGCCATTTTCTTTCAAGCCACCATAACTACTAACCTCTACTTTGCCTCAGACCAGTAGTATCTGGGTCACTGGGTGGGTCACATGGGCGCACGAGGCAGGTAGTGACACTTTCCTAGGTCAGGTACAAAGCCCAGATACATTCATGACTAAGTTCGACAGGACATTCAGGGAAGACCCCTGCGTCAATGCAGGTTCGAAGTCGCCTCTATTCTCAGATAAAACTTTATCTGACAAGCAGAGCAGGCCCAGAGGCATTTCTGTCAATCATTTTAATCTTTAAAATAAAATTAAATGGCATTTGTTTGTTTATTATTCATATAGTAGAAGTCAGAGGACAACTTGAGTAAGTCTGTTCTCCACTTCTATCATATGGGTCCTGGGAATTGAACTCAGATCGTCAGGCTTGGCAGCAAGCCCCTTTTCCATTGAGCCCTCTCCTAACCCTGGCGGCAGACTTTTGAAGGCTGAATCTGGATACTCAGCTTCAACTCAAGGAAGAGTTTACCAGCAGCTGGATCTGATCCTAGTTAAGCCTCTCTGCTTTTCATCTGCAGAGGGAACACATGACTCTTATCTCTTTTGGCTTTGAAACCCTGAGATGAAAACAGTTGTTAGACAGCAAATAGTGTGTCGGAAGGTGACATGCTCCCATTGGACTCAGGCCCTGTCTGAGTGATTCTTTCTATCGCTGTGATAATACAGCATGACCAAAAGCAACCTGGGAGAAGGGTTTATTTCATCTTCCAGGTGGTAGGGAATCTATCATCCAGAGAAGTCAGGGCAGGAATTTGAGGTAGGAGCTGATGTAGAGCCCATGGAGGGGTGCTGCTTACTGGCTTGCTCCCCATGGCTTGCTTATAGAACTCAGGACCACCCAGGGGTGGCATGACCCTCAGTAAACTGGACCCTTTCATATTGATCATCAGTCAAGAAAATGGCCCGAAAAGCTTGCCCCAAGCCAGTCTGGGGAGGGGGAGCAATTTCTCACCTGAGGTCGTCTCTTACAAAATGACACCAGCTTGTGTCAAGTTGACGTAAAGCTGCCCAGCACAGTCCCTTGATGTCTTGGTGCCTCAGTTCCCTAGACTCTTTTTTTTTTTTAAGATTTATTTATTTAATTTATTATGTATATAGTGTTCTGGGCACCAGATCTCATTATAGATGGGTGTGAGCCATCATGTGGTTGCTGGGAACTGAACTCAGGACCTCTGGAACAGCAATCAGTTCTCTTAACCTCTGAGCCATCTCTCCAGCCCAAGATTTATTTATTTTATGTGCATTGCATTGGCGTTTTGCCTGCGTGTATATTTGTGTGAGGGTGTCAGATCCCCTGGAACTAGTGTTATAGACTATAGTTGTGAGCTGCTATGTAGGTGCTGGGAATTGAACCCAGGTCCTCTGGAAGAGCAGCCAGTGCTCCCAACCATTGAGCCATTTCTTCAGCCCTTCCTTTGACTCTTTAACCAGGGTAGGGTGGCTCCACTACTTTGAAGATTACTCATTTGTTTATCAATTCATCCATTCAATCATTCACCAAACATGCTTAAAAGAAAAACAAACAACACCCCCCCCCAAAAAAAACTTTATTTTTTAATTTTATTTGCATTGATGTTTTGCCTACATGTATGTGTGAGGGTGTCAGATCTTAGAGATACAGACAGTTGTGAGTGGCTACCTGGGTGCTGGGAATTGGACCCTGACCCTCGTTCTACTTCAGATAAACATGTCAATAAAAAGCAGAAAGGCCCCTAAGCTAGCCTAGGTCTTCTGGTCAGAGTAGAAACCAATACTTGCAGAGGGAATGATGCCTGAGATGGGCAGTACCAGTATGGCAGATTAGCCAGGCAAATAGGGAAATGAATCCCAGACAGGTTCGGATTAGCCAGGCAAATTCGGAAATGAATCCCAGACAGGACCAGTGCCTTCAAACCCTCAGTGAGAAGAGCGTGTGACCCAGTCAAGAAACAGAAAGATATAATCATGGCAGAAGGTTTGCATTCGCCCGGACCTTGGTGAGATCAGCACGGAGAGGTGGGAAGTGCTGGGCAGAGCTCCTGGGATGACCAGGTGTCTGGATGTTCACTCCGGAGACGGTGGGGGCTGTAAGGGGAGAAGGAACCTGAGGAAGCTCCCTAGGTGTCTCCTCAGGCCTAATGAGGGCAGGAGTGGAGGGACCGTGGGACGATGTGTGCCACGTGGATGGATGCCATCTGTCTGATTTCTCGTCTTCTGTTGTCTTGCGGATGGCATTTACGGGTGCCTAGTGATGTTCTTGCTCGGCATGCTGCTGGGCTGTGGAAGTTAGAAGCCAGCATGCTGCTCAACACTCTACAGCACAGAGGATGGTCCCCCAGTCCCAACATAGGATTATCAGCCTTAAATGGGAATGGAATCTGTGTCGGGCCCTTTTACTCAGAACATGACCAGGGAAATGTCAGCAATGGTGACTGTGCAGGCTACTTTCCTTGGCACTGTGATCAAATACCACCAAGAAGCAACTTAAGGGGACGGATTTATTTGGGCTCCTGGGTTGCCGCCACCAGATGTCTCCTCCTAAAAGGTTCTACAATTTCCTAGAACAGGACCATCACGGGGGTGTGTGTGTGTGTGTGTGTGTGTGTGGTGTGGTGGTGGGTGGGCGGGTGTTCAACCCATGAGCTTGTGGGCCCTGTCACATTCCAGCTGTGACAACATCCCTGGGAAGTCTGTCAGAATTGCAGAATCCCAGTCCTCATCCTGCAGCCAGAGTTACAAATTCTTTACATGTGAGCATGCGTGAGCACGTGTGCATGCCAGAGGAAGGAAACCAGGCCCTGGCATCTGCTAGGCAAGCATTCTTGGATCAGTCTACATCCGCAGTCTGAGTATTTTAAAATAAAGGTTTTGTTTATTTTTATTCGTATGCGTGTTTTCCCTGAATATACATTTGTGCACCATGTGCATCATGCTGAGGCCAGATTCCCTAAATTTGGGATTACAGATGTTGTGAGCCGCCATGTGGGTCCTCAGAACTGAACCCCAAATTCTGAAGGACTGTTAGGAAATAGTCCTAAAAAACGAGCCTCTCTGCTGACGCAAATAATCCCAGTCAGACCAAATTAAAAGATATCCAGGTTTAATTGGACCTCCGCACTCTGGGGGTGGCTCAGAGGGGGAACAGAAAGCCATTGTGACCACCAAAGAGGAAGAGGGAAGACCATGTGTTTATTCTCTGGGAGGCAGTTTAAATAGCCTGTGGGAGTGGTCTTGACCTTTCCTGGAGAGGGGTCAAGGTTAGGTGGACCTGTGGAAGAACTGGGAGGAACTATGGGTCTTACTTTTTGTTGTTGTTGTTGCTTGTTTCTTGAGACAGGATTTCTCTGTGTAACAGTCCTAGAATAGTCCTGGAACTCTCTCTGTAGACCAGACTGGCCTCCAACTCACAGAGATCTGCCTGCCTCTGCCTCTCAAGTGTTAGGATTAAAGCAGTGTGTGCGCCACCACTGCCCAGCGGGTCTTATTTACAGACCTACTTATAACATCACTTTGTCCCTAGGTGTGTTTGAACCACATGCTGCAGATCCAGAAGCACGGTGGGATCCATTATACCTTTGGCTTGCCGGGTCTGCTCGGAGCAGTCACCTACATTCTGCTGATACAAATGAACAACTACAGTATATCCCAGTGGGTACAACTACCGTATAGCCCTGTGGGTGCCTTGGCCTCTTTTCTTAACCTTTATCCAACTTGGGAGGAAATGTATCCAGAGCCAATTAATTCAGAATTTTTTTAAAAATTATTTAGACAGGGTAAGACAGGCATGGTGATGTAGGTCTTTATTTTATTTATTTATTTTGGTTTTTCAAGACAGGGTTTCTCTATAGCTTTGGAGCCTGTCCTGGAACTAGCTCTTGTAGACCAGGCTGGCCTCGAACTCACAGAGATCCTCCTGCCTCTGCCTCCTGAGTGCGGGGATTTAAGGCTTGTGCAATCACTGCCCAGTTTGGTGTAGGTCTTTAATCCCAGCACTTGGGAGTCAGAGACAGGTGGATCTCTGTGAGTTACAGGCAGGCTCAGCCGGTAGAGTGTTTTCCCCATCGTCAAGCACAAAAACTGGGTGTGGTGGCATTCATTCGGAGTCCCAGAATTTGGAAGGTGGAGGCAGGAGGACCAAGAGTTCAAAGTCATCTTCTACCTGGTATAGGAGATCTGAGGGGAAAATGTTCGGTTGTTCAACACCTCTGACTGTAGGATCACACTGAAGAGCCAGTGTAGGTCAGGCTTGGGCTGACCCACGGAGTCTGGGGATTTCAATGTACCTACCCAACTACATCTGCATAGCTCTATAAGAAAGTGTCAGGGGCATGGTAGGGGGTTAGTGGGGGACGGGACACTTAGTTTCTTCACAGCTCTTCTTGGCCCTGTCACTACTAATGCCATCTGTCATGTTTGTTCTCATACCCGCAGCCTGATTCGTGAGTGGTCTCTCTGCTTTGTCCATTCTAGGGTTACCAACCAGATGATCAAAGACTTTGGGGCTCTTAGCTTTGCTCTGGCAGTGGGAATGGTGTCTGGACTCCTAACAGGTCAGTGCAGTACCAGGCTTTCCTCCACTAGAGGGTGCTCAGTCATCCCTCCAGACCTTCAAGTGCTGTTTTTAAAAATCAAAGAATCAGCTCAGAGTAGTGGGTCATTCCTATAATCTCAGCACTCACGAGGTAGTGGCAGGCAGTCTCCAAATTCAATGCCAGCCTGGTCTACACAGTGAGTTCAAGGCCAACCTGGTCTACACAGTAAGTTCAAGACCAGCCAGAGCTCCACACTACTGAGTCCCTGTCACCACCCTACCCCATAACAAAAGACCCAACACAAAATCCAAGAAACGTGTAATATCGGAGCTAGAAAGGCATTCAGAGGCCACCTGCTGCCAATGAGGCCCAAGAAGGCGGGACCCTCCCTGGAGTTTTCAAGTGGGGTGGCGGTGTCCTTGGGCTCAGGGGGAGTGACTGCACCCAGCTTTGCCTGGAAGGCCAAGGGACCCTTTCTGCCCCCAGACCTGCCTCTCATTCCCCAAGGGCACCCTTATACTACTTTACTCAACAGACACACATCCGATTTCACCTATGACCCAGTTACTCTGGATAACAGGGACGGAATAAATTCTCCAGCCTGGAATTTGTTGGAGTCAAAGGAGCACAGAGGGAACGCGGCTCGCACTTTGAGAGCGCAGACCAATTGGCCTTCCTTTTGCTCCCTCCTAACACAACAGGGAACTGGTGATTAAAACAACCCAGAGGGCTGGAGAGGCGGCTCAGCAGCCAAGAGCACTGGCTACACTTGCAGAGGACCCAGGTTCAATTCTCAGCACCGACCTGGTGCTCACAGCTTCACAACCATCCCTAACTTCAGGTCCTGGGATCCAACAGCCTCTTTTGACTGTTGTGGACAGCAAGGGCTTCACTCTCCATGGTGGCTCCTGTGCCACCTCCCTCAGCTGTGCCAGGGCCCTTTGAGTCTGTCTTGGGGAAGGTGTCAGAGCCACACCCACTGGAAACTGCTGGGTGTGACCTCAGTCCTGCTGGGAACTCTTGCCCTCATGGTTCCTTAGGAGACACCTATTAGGATGAATGGAGCTACCAGGACCCACTGAGCTTCTCTTTGTCTGAAGGAGGGGAGATTTAGTGCTTTGTTTTGTTTTCCAAGACAGGGTTTCTCTGTGTAGACCAGGCTGTCCTTGAACTCAGAGGTCCACCTGCCTCAGCCTTCTGAGTGCTGGCATTAAAGGCGTGTGCCACCACCACCCAGCTTGTTTCAGTGATCTCCAGGTAACAATGAGCTCTCTATATTAACACTTGTCATTTGTTTAAGGTTGGCTCCTAAACATCAAAATATGGAGGGCTCCCCACGCCAGCAAGTACTTTGATGATCAGGCCTTCTGGGAGGTAAGATTTTTAGGTTATTAACAGGATAGATTTATTTTTATTTATTTATTTATAGTGTGTGTGTGTGTGTGTTCACTTGTGTGTGTTCAAGGAGATCAGAGGATAATTCATGGGAGTCCCCTTCAGGTGCCCCAAGATTAAAGATAAGGAAATGGAGGCCCATTGGAGATTAAGTCACTTGTCCAAAATGGCAGAACCAATCAAGGGCACAGAGTATGTTTGGCTCCAAATGTGTAGCAGGCCTTTGCTGGAGAACCGTCTCCAGACACCCATGTCACCATGTGACATCGGAAAACGGACCAGGAGCTGCCTGTGGCTCCTGAAGTCATATAAGCACCACATAGAAAAAAAACAAATGGAATGTGCTATTGCTTCTGCAGTAGTGAGTCCTTGCCCCTGGAGGTATTACAAAAACAAAAACACGTAAAGAGCTATGTGAAGCTGGGAGTAGTGGCCCAGCCTGTGATCCTATTAGTAAGGAGGCTTAGGAAGGAGGATGGCAGGTTCAGGGATAGCTCTGGCTACATAGCCAGACTCTGTCTCAAAATACAAAAAGGGGTTGGAATGGGGTTGTTGCTGTTCTTACAGTGGATCTGACCTCTCTGCACACTGCACACATGTAGTGCACAGACAGACAAACACGCACACATGAGTGTATATGAGTGGTTAAGAGCACTGGTGTTCTTCCAGACGACCTGGTTTTGATGTCCAGAACCTCCATGGCAGCTCACAACTGTTGGCAGCCATCTCTAACTCCAGTTCTAGGGATGCGATGGCCACTCACGGCCTCCGCAGGAGCCAGGCATGCGCATGGTACAGACATATCAGCAAGCAAATCCTCCAAACAAATAAGTTAAAATTTCCGTTTTGGGCCAGGCAGTGGTGGTGCACCACCTTTAACTGGGAGTCCCAGGATAGTCGGGGCAGTTACACAGAGAAATCCTGTAGACCAGGCTGGCCTCAACTCATAGAGATCCTCCTGCCTCTGCTGGGATTAAAGGAGTGCACCATCACCACCACCCAAACGATTTTTTTTTAAAGAATTAAAATTTAAAAATAATTTTTTTTTTTCGAGACAGGGTTTCTCTGTGGCTTTGGAGCCTGTCCTGGAACTAGCTCTGTAGACCAGGCTGGTCTCAAACTCACAGAGATCCGCCTGTCTCTGCCTCCCGAGTGCTGGGATTAAAGGCATGCGCCACCATCGCCCAGCCATTTTAAAAATAAGTTTTTTTAAATATTTATTTATTATGTATACAATATTCTGTCTACATGTATTCCTGCAGGCAAGAAGAGGGCACCAGACCTCTTTACAGATGGTTGTGAGCCACCATGTGGTTGGTGAGAATTGAACTCAGGACCTTTGGAAGAGCAGGCAATGCTCTTAACCACTGAGCCATCTCTCCAGCCCTTTAAAAATAAGCACACACACACACCAAAAAACAAACAAAAACAGAAAGAGAAATATAGATCTAAGATCTCTCCTAAGATTCTGAAAGTGACAGCGAGTTCCAGAATAGCCACAGCTAACACAAACTGTCTCAACACCCACGTAATAAAATGTCTGCTTTGCTTTGACAGTTCCCTCACTTGGCTGTTGGGTTTTAAGCAGAAACATCTGAGAATGAGGCCGAGCGTGGAGCTGCCCCTCTCCGTGCGTTCCCTTCGTGCTGGCAACGTGTAACAAGGAGGTCTTCCAAGTGGTGATTTAAGATAAACAATACGTCTGGTTTCGTGACAGATACCGTCAATACTGGTGGCTGCAGACACCTCATTAAAGTTCTGGCCCGTTCTGTCGACAACTGTTTGCTTCTTTTCACACTTAATGAAGCCGCCACCCAGGTGGTTAACTGCTGGCTACAGCAGCACAGGAAGTGATGGGCAATACGGAAACTAGGAACCTCACGTCTGGTCACTGCACACAAGCTTTGGACCCAGCAGTTTTACAAGGTCCTCGGAATCCCCCAGACTGTGCTGTGGAGCTGGTTATGGGGTGAGGGAGGGTGCAAGCTCTCAAGTTCCTAAGAGGACTCAAATCCATCCTCTGTGGATTTGTGATGTCTTGGAGGATGACACCAAAGCAGTCTTTTGTGTCCTGACAAGCCGACATCATTCGGACCCATGGCCAGTAGGTCCACACACCTAAGCCATCTGTGACACCAATCATGGCTCTCACTGGGCAAGCGCAACAGCCCAGTGAAGGCCAAGACTTCAAGCTCTGCTCCGAAGAATCTGCAGCATATTGCGTGAGGTGGGAGCTGGGGGGTGGGGGTGGTGTGAGGCCAATAGTTACAGTGAGGGACAAACTATTAGCGTCTCTGGCAGCTGGTCCGTGTAGTGTAACCAACCGTGGGGTGCGCTGAATTTAGGTTAGCTGTTGAGAGGTAAAATGAAACACACAATTCAAGTCATTATCAAAACAAATTGTCAGACCAGTGGTGGTGGCTGGTGCACACCTTTAATCCGAGCACTTGGGATGCAGAGGAAGGCGGATCTTTGTGTGTTTGAGGCCAGCCTGGTCTACAGAGAGTTCCAGGACAGCCAAGGACAGCCAAGGCTCCGTAGAAAATCCTATCTCAAAAAAATCAAAAACAAAACAAATTGTCACCTGAGCCAGAGACTGTCAAGTCCTAGAAATTGTCACCTAAGAGAGTGTCAAGTCTGTACCCATCAGGACCCTGTTACAGCTAGTCTGTGCTGTTACTCGGCTTCTCCAGTGCACTCCTGATCTCTGGCAGGCCCTCAAGCCCCACTCATGCCTGAACTATTGCCAGTTTCTCCTTTCCTTCTGCTTGTATTTATTTCACGCGGAATGTCTTCCTGTGCCACAAGCTTTTGTTTCTTTGGTTTCTTCTGGGCTGTCATTCTCTGTACGGCCTCCTCTCCTGGCTCCAGGAAGTTTTGTCCCCAGCAAGGGGCATCTCCATTGGCTGGGGAGCTGCCGTGCAAGTTAACTATGTAAGTCCGGTGCATCTTGGGTGCTCATTTCTCCTGGAAATCTTGAAGGACTGAAGAATCTACGTCCCAACCCTTGAGTTCTGCAGTACTCTGTTTTTAAGTAAACACAGTAGAAAGTCTGGGCCACTGACTGGGTCCAGCCCCACACTCCTGAGCACCCCTACCAATTCTTCCATTTTCCTGCCAGGATGGCATATATCACATGTGAAAGGCGCTACCTTTCACATAGCCAACAGTCGGGCAGTACAGGCGCTCTTAATGGGAACATAGGTCTGACGCTCTCACAGGCTCTGAAGGGTCTTCTGGTTCAAGAGAGTCGTGAACCATTTTCACAGGTTATCTTAATTTACACGCTAAGGAAGCTGCAGGACATCCTGGCAGAACCACACAAACCATACCCATGGTACCAAGAGAAAAACTCTGACCACTGAATAGTTTTTAATAACAAGAAACGTTTATACGTTATTCCACATCTGACACAGAAGAGGGCGCGCTCAGTAAACAGACACTTTGGATCCCAGAGCGAATCCTCACCCCAAGGACTCTACCACTTCTCCATAATCGGCTCTTTAGACCATGATAGAAGCTGACAAAGTTACTCACGTCAAGTTTCCTTTCCCATTGCAAAAGCGGGCCGGGTGACAGCACCCCAGACTGTTGCAGAGTGCACAGGAGCGCTCATGATTCTAGCATTATACAATTTTAAGCTGAGATTGTACTCAGAAATAAGTTTAGAAAATAGCATTACAAAAGACTGGGTGAGCGGTGAAGAAAAACCAATCCCAGGCAGGTTGGCCGTGCTGCGAGGCAGGGGTCTTCACTGCCACAAGTCCTCCGTGCGGCCGAACTTAAAAACCAGCCCTCTGTGGATAGAGCAAGGAGGACAACATGACTGTCTGGGTTGGGAAACTTCTAGAAAGATAGGAAGCATATGACAGACAAATCATCCAAAATGCACACACACCGTCTTAGAGACATCATTTCTTTATACTGCTAGACTGCTACTTGCTGTCACTGTCCCCAGACCTGAGCTCTTACTGCTGAGGCTTCTGAAAAGCCAGCCAGTGTTTGGTAGTGATCATTAACTACTTGATCCAACAAGACGTTTTGGGGTGTGAGCGAGGAATGGAACCCAAGGCCTGGGGTGAGCATGCTAGCGCTGATCTCCAGCCCCACCCATACACCTTCCTGGGCTGTCCTGGTGTGCTAGGCCCATAGAGATAAGCATACATACATCCTTGTCCTCAGCCCCTCTGATCTGATAACACATGGCAGGCACTTCAGCGGGTGGCAGGCACAATACCAAACCCCAAGGAAGCCTGAAACATGTAACTCATTCTCCTTGAACGAGTTCAATTTTTTGTTTTTGTGAGATGATGGTCTCGTGGTGTAGTCTTGGCTGGCAAGGAACCTACTATATATAAACGAGGCTATCCTTGAACTCATGGCAAACCTCCTGCCTCTGCCTTTCAATGCTAAGATTGTAAGCACAAATCACTATGCCTTGCTGCCATTTTCTGAATTTGTTTGAAAATGGTTCAGACAAAAGCAGGGCAATGGCTCCATGGGTAAAGTGTGCGCTGAGAGCCTGGTGACCCGAGTGCCCGGCACCTACGGAAAGCTGAAAAGAGCGGCGAAACAACTGTGAAGGTTGTCCTCTGACTTCCGTGTGTGTGGTGGCAGGTGCACACATGCACACACGATAGTAAGAAGTAACTAAATTAAAGAGGATAAAAGGATGGCTTATTTGAAATGGCTCTGACTGATGAGCAGGAGTTCAATGAGCTGCAGTGTGATGCTGCTACCTTATGTTAACTTGACACACGCAAAATAGTCATCAGAGAGGAGGGAATCTCAGTTTTAAAAAATGCCTTCATGCTGGGCAGTGGTGACACGTGCCTTTAATTTCAGCACTTGGGAGGCAGAGGCAGGTGGATCTCTTTGAGTTCAAGGCCAGTTTAGTCTACAGAGCAAGTTTTAGGGCAGGCTCCAAAGTTTCACAGAGAAACAGGTCTAGGAAAACAAAACAATACAAAAATGCCTCCATAAAACTGGGTTGTTAATGGGCGGTAGTGGCACAGGCCTTTAATCCCAGCACTGGGAGGCAGAGGCAGGTGGATCTCTGAGTTCAAGGCCAGCCTGTTCTACAAGGGCTAGTTCCAGGACACCTAGTGCTGTTACACAGAGAAACCAGTCTTAAAAAAAAAAAAAAAAAGGCCTGAGTCATTAGGCAAGCCTGTAGGGCATTTTCTTAATTAGAGATAGATGGGAGAAGATCTAGTCCCCCATTGTGAGTGGTGCCATCCTTGGGCTGGTGGGAACAACCCTACTTGTCCTGGAACTCACTCTGTAGACAGGCTGGCCTCGAACTCACAAAGATCTGACTGCCTCTGCCTCCCAAGTGCTGGGATTAAAGGCAGGCATGGACTACCATGGCTTGGCAGTTCTGAGCTGTATAAGAAAGCAGGCTGAGTCAGTAAGCGTCACTCATCCCTGGCCTCTGCATCAGCCCCTGCCCCCAGCTTCCTGACCTGTTTGAGTTCCTGCCCTTACTTCCTTCAAGGACAGTGATGTGGAAGTGTGAGTCAAATAAACCCTTTCTCCCCGGGTTGTTTTGGTTCTGGTGTTTCATCACAGCAATGGCAAACCTAACTAGGAAGCGGTGGCAGAAATAAGAGCTAGTGGGACAATGAACAAGATACTTTTTGGTGAAGAATTCACACCTCAGAATTCGAACTCGTGATCCTCCTGCCTCTGCCTCCTTCAGCAAATCCTACAGGCCTGCGCCACCACTACCGGCCACACCTCAGAATTCGAATGCCAAGAAGCCAAGGGGTGAAGGCCGAGGGATGGAGGTCAACGGTAGTGCTAATGCCTAGCATGCGTGAAGCAGGGAAAATCCTGCCTAGTGGTACACACTTGTAGTTCCAGCTACTTATGAAGCTGTGTTCAGTCTAGGTTACAGAGAGGAATTCCTTCCCAAAGCGCGTGTGCATGTGCACACACAAACACACACACAAAGACTGAAAATCAGAACTTACCCAAAAAAAATGAAGGCATTCTGGAAAAATACAGCAATTCCAGGATATACTGTGGACTTTTCTGTAAAAACAATTGTGATACTTAGAGGTTTACAATCGCTGAACAGAGCCAGGCAGTGGTGGCACAGGCCTTTAATCCTAGCACTCGGGAGGCAGAGGCAGGCAGATCTTTGTGAATTCGAGGCCAGCCTGGTCTACAGAGTGAGCTCCAGGACAGCCAGAATGCTACACAGTGAAACCGTGTCTTGAAAAACTAATCTCCGAACAATTAGTCCAGTTAGACTAGCAAACATCAGCTTTCTTGCCTACCATAACTGATGGCTCTGCAGCGGTGATGGGGAAGCTAAATGACCAATATGTAGCAGGCAGCATTGGCTCAGTAAATGACAGCTCCCTCAGTTCAGTAATACTACATCCTGAGGGCACATTATACACAAAGGACACCTTGAAACATGCTGAGGATCCTGTAGAACAGAACTGACAATTGTCTGGCCCTCAGGGAGCTGCACCACCTTCCCTTGGAACAACCAGAAGACAGAAGCAACCCAGGAGAGGGAGTGGGACACGTGGAGACATTAGACCCGGAGGCCAGGAAGATCCCAGGAAGAGCAGATACCAGAGCAGAGGAGGGGAGGAGCAGAACAGCAGAGGACAAAGGCCCTGAGGCTGCTGGGTAGGAGAAGTGAGGACAAGGAGATGAGAGGCCAGGCAATCATGGGGGGGGGGGTGAGACTTGAGCCACCGTATCCTAACAGGATCCCTCTGCAGGGAAAGGGAGAGGCAGGAAACTGGCTAGGAAGTCCTTTCAGGAAAGCAGGAAGAGACTGTGGTGACAGTCATGGAGATGCTAAGAGGTGGCTATGAGGTGGGTAGGGTCAGGATACTGCACCCCAGACTGGATGCTCAGCGTGAGAGAAAGGCACCTTTTTTGACAGGCCCTGGCTGGGGGCAGCAGTAACAGGCCTACACCTCTGAAAAGACAGAGTAACCTCAGCTAAGGGGAGACACTGCAGGGCCCTGTGGGGACCCAGAGCGCAGGTCTCCGCAACCTTATCCCCAGGCTGCCTGAGCCCAGAGGCACAGACCACTGTCAGCTCTTTCCATTCCCAAACAGCCTCAAGTTTTGTCTAGTTCTCTACTACTCCATGTTAACATTACAGCTGGGCCGTGTGCCCTTAATCCCAGCACTCGGAAGGCAGAGGCTGTGGGACCTCTGTGAATTCAAGCCAGCCTGGTCTACAAAACTGTGGAGGCCCAAAGAGGACAAAGGTCAGAGAGTTTGGGACTTGTTTTTAGTTCATTCAAAGTTATTGTGCTTCTAACAAAGGTCCCACCTAGTTGTAAATCAGAGTTCTGTTCGCTCAAGGCTACTGTCAGCAGCTGTGGCTAGTTGCCAGCCCCACACCCCCCTCCTGAAATAGGGTAAAGTGATTGGTTCCCTAAAACAAAAGTCTAAGGATCCAACTAAATTCAAGTTCCCTTTCTGGAAATAACTTGGGATTCCACCCAGGGGGTGAGTGGTTTGCCTACAGTGTTTGGTCTAGGGCAGGAGTGATGAATGTAGCCCGTGACTTTCAGTTGCTATGATAATGCAGTCTGTTGTCTTAATCCTATGTTTTGGGGTCAGGGTTATTAATCAGCTGGAAATTAAATGTTGGCGAATTTTCAGTACTCACTGAAATTCCCTCCTGATACTATTCTATATGTTTCTGCATTTTATTATTTCATTCAGGTCTTTGTATTCTTTACTATATTTCTAAATTCCCAGGCCTCCACTCTACAAGAAAGGTATTTTTGTTGAGGCTGGCCCCTGATGCAAGAGTAGTTCCAGAAAAGGCTCCAAAGTTAAAGCGAAACCCTGTCTCGGAAAAAACAACAAAACAAAAAAAATTACCACCTTCAGGTATAGTGGCAAATGTCTTTTAGTCCCAGCCCTCGGGAGGCAGAGGCAGGCAGATCTCTGTGAGGCCATCCTGGGCTACATAATGAGACCATGTCTCCTAACAACAACACTAATAAAACCAACCAACCAAATCAGGCGAGGCTGGTCCAAGCTCTGCCAGGCAGTCTGTTTCCACTCTGCTAGCTCTGGTCTATTTATCTCGATTACTAAAGATGTTTCCTATTTTTCTAGGTCCCTCAAGTGGAATGTCAGCCAGGAGCCCAAGGTCTTTTCCATGCCTTAACAGCGCACGCGACTGTTAACCACTTTTTCTATGTAACATCGCATCACCAAGGAGGCATAACCGAATAAATGTCGGTTAAATGTGGCAAACACAGGTAACCTCAGCTCTGAGGCGGTGGAGAAGGAATCGCTAATTCCAGGCCACCCTAGGCTACACAGCAAGAACTTACCCTGGGTGTGATGGTGAACATCTATAATTCCGGAATTTGGGAGTATGAGTGAGGCAGGAGGACAGATGGGAATCTAAGGCCAGGGCTACACACCAAGAGTCTATTTCACCAAAATAAACAGAAACAAACAAAACCAAGAAACCCGAAGGCCATAAATTAGCTCAATGGGAGAGTGCTTGCCTGCAAAGGCCAGGGACTCAATGAGCACTTTAATGGGATGTTAAGAGTTCTGCAGAGATGAAGTGATACCTCGTCACTGACAGCTGATGTAGGGCGACCGTGCCGACCCAATGACACATCACGAGTGCGCTGACCCAATCAATGAACAAATTCAACCATGGATTCAAATTCTGGGACCAGTGAGAGTGGTGGGGCATGCGGGGCTGGGCAGGTTTGCCCTCCCTGGAGGAGTGGGTTGTGGAGAACAAGCTTTTGAAGGCCTGTCTTGGCCCTGGCTCATTCCTGCTG